CAAACAAAGCAGCTGCAGCACCCTGCCTGTTGCTGCAAACACACTGCGGACACGCAGCAGAGGCAACAGAGGAGAGGGCGGCTGGCTGCTGAAGGACTCCCAGCCTGTGGGTGGCACGTCTTCTCAGGTCCACAGCTGCCCCACACCAGAGCATGAGCAGCTCCTGGTCAGCAGCAGTGGGCTCCCACATGGGCTCCAGCTGCCAAGCCCTGTGGCATAGGAGAAAATGGTTTTAGCGGTCTCACAAATCTTTCTGTTCCAGCTCTTCGGTGTCAACTGCTGTCTTACCTGGCTGTCTCCAACCCTCTACAAATGGTGTTTAACAAGAGGCTAGCAAGAGGCTCCCGAGCATCAGACGACACACAGCAGTGCTGCTACAACCAGTACAATTCGTCTCCCATGACGGTGAGCAGCCGCTCCACTGTGTATTACCCACACAGAAGACAACAAGCACACAAGTTTATGGTCAGTGCTCTTCCCCACCCTCCACCCATGGGCTGTCAGCACAAGGCACAGTCCCACCAGCTACAATTAAGCCTCAGCTCAGCTCCTCTGCTGACAGGCATGTAAAGCATACAGATTAGCAGTCCTGGTTCATCATTCATAAGAAGTAGTTCTATAAAGTTTGGTTTCTACATGAGTCATGACAAAAAACTCAGCTAAGGAGCCAGACACTTTCTCCAGGCTTTATGTATTTGCAGAGTAGAAAACAGAAATAGAAGTCTGAGCAGTGAGATTAGCAGAGAAGGAAACCCCGTTCAATTGAAAGATACTTATTTCTAACTTGAGTTTCCTCTATAGACTGCAGACAGTTACAAAGTCTCTGGACAAAGCTGCAGAACCTCAGCTTAGCCTCAGCTATCAACAGCACTACCCGTATTCAGAACCTCCCCACAGTCCTGCAATGCTAAAGCTAAGTTTGAGACATGCAACATCAGCTGTTTGCCAGTCTCTTTTAGAGATACTCTAATCATCATCTTATTTTCTTACTGCCGACCAGAAAGATGACGCCTTTAGGAGGGAGCACATTGCCATACCACAATGCTGCCCAATTCACCAGTGCTTCTTGTCTTTCACACAGCAGTTTTTCTCTGTCAAACACGGAGATGACTGTAGCAGGAATGTATGCAGTCGGTTGCAAGACTACATTTTTGTATTCTCATAAGCCATTCATTGGTTTATAGATACAAAGTCCCACAGGGAGGGCTGCTAATCCACATAAAGTCTCTGGGTGCAGGATCTGACTCTCTGACGTAGCAGATGTGTAAAATAACATCTAACCAAACATCTCCCCAGTAACTCTGCAGCTAGAGACTGAAAAGTCCTAAGAATGTGTCCAAGGGCAATGAAGAAGGGGAAGGATAAGAACAGGGACCTGTATCTAGAAAGTAAAGTTCAGGCTTTGTGAATTGTTTTTTGATGGTGTAGTTATTTTTTCACATCCATAGCCAAGCTGCGGCACCACAAGTGAGGACTACTGGGGGCTGGGGAGCACAGCCACTGAGGCCTGCTTTGATCCACAGCAGACTGATCAACTAACTCCTCCTTGGTTTCTGGGAATCTTAAAGATCCTACCTCTGAAGCCTCTACTGTGCCTCCAAAGACCTTCTTCCAAAAGGAAGGTCTAACTCCTCGAGAAGAAAACACTTCTCAACACAAAGCACACAGCTGTGTAACACTGCTCACTACAGAGGCCCCTCTCCACTCTCAGAGCTGACGTGTGGAAAACACAGCCCCCATGGTTTTACATGCAGAGAAGAGTGGCGGGTGAGAAAAAAAAAATCAAGATCTTGTTCAAAAGTCCCAATTTAAAACTTCTGGCTACTCCCATTTTATGAAGTTAAAACCAGTCTCTGCTAGGAGCTGCCTGAACTTCAGATCTGGATCCTGCCCTTTGCAAAGCTGCTAGTGGGCTTGGATCCAAGGCTTGTGTTCAAGCTCTTATCTACTCCATGCTAAAACGACTAAAACCATGCATTCTTTATAACAAATAGCCTCACAGAGAGGAAGCACAGTATTGGCACAGTTCATGTTTACATCACTCTTCCAAAAGCCAAAACACATGGTTGAAGTTGGAAATATAACAGTTTTTGTGTATTTTGCCTAATGTGGTTTACAGCCAGAGCAGTCAATGGCTGCGTCAGCTTCATCCATTTCAGCAGGTGAGGCTCAGGAGCAAAAATCCCAGGTGATGCTCACCAGCACTGAACACAATATGGGCACGGGCAGCAGCACAGACGTGGCTGTGCCCTGCTGCAAGGGGGCCCTGGCTGTGCCACGACACACTCAGCTCCCCGCAGTGAAGGTCTCCATTCTCTGTCCCCACCACCTCCTCTTCACAAAGGCTTACACACACTTACATAAACAAATGAACAATTCCATTATGTGCCTGGCAGCCCGTGCACTTTCTTTCTGCTTCACAATAGAGGCGCCCCATTGAAAAGATCCATATACAGGGGAAAAAAATCTAAGCAAGTCTCCAGCAAGCACACATATTATCAAAGCCTCATTTCCACTTAACACAAGTTGCTTTGGGAACGAATGCAGCTGACTTGAGGGGAAAAACACAAACAAACAAACAAGCAACCTCTTTTTCCATTAGCTAGGAGAAAAAAACAAAAAAAAAAAAATCGAACCAGTGCCATCTTTGTTGAAGGGCTCCACTAAAGTAATGGTTTAGAAGAGCTGAGGAGCATGGATGGGGGACAATTTGTGACTGATCACTGCCATCTGAACATGGCACGCTGACAGCTGAAAGAAGAGCAGAGAAAGGCAAAACAAAACAGGCATGTGTTTAATCCGGGCAGGCTCAGTCCCCCATTTTCATTCCCAGTGAAAAAATAAAAGGCTAAAGGAAGCCGGTCCCTCCGCCTGCTCAGCACGCACACAGCTCCCTGCCTCACACCACAGGACACGCGGATGGAGGCACTGCTTCTTCACGTGCTGGAAAAAAACACTGCAATATCTTAAAACGCATCTCTCACCACCAAAGAACCTCCCTTTCTCTGATACTGCCAGCGAGCTCCTCCACTCCCAAATGCACTGAAATCTAAACAAGACTCAACAATTTTGTGACTGCGACGGAGAGCTGATCGAATGATTATAAAGGTCACGCAGATGCTACAAAGATATATTCCCCTGAACTTCAACATGAGCTTCCTCAGAGACCAACAGCAAAAAGGCTGCCGTGAAAGGAAAATCGTGCACGTTATCTTTGTCAGATGTCAATGAAAAAAAGACAGGAATAAAAGCATTGTGACTTGCACTCCACAGAGCTCAGAAGGAATGCTTGCTGACAGAAAATGGGGATTGGGAGGAAACAAGGTGGGCTCACAGATGTCACAAAGGGCTCACTGTGGTTCCCTCCCTTTCTCACCAGCCTGATCTGGCCACAACTGCTGTCCTATGCCTGCAGTAGGGTGAGCCCCAGAGAGCAAAGTCTTGTAATACCTGAGCTGCAGGGATGGGGGGAAGAGATGGCGAAAGGAAGGGGGAGTTGTAAGATCCAGAGCTCCTATATGGCACGTGGCAGCTGCCTCAAATGTATTTGCATTAATGCCTCACTTCACAACTACAAAAATTGCCTCACACTCCTACTGGCAGAGTCTTGTATCCCCTTTTGTGTTCACAGTCCCTAACGCAAGAAGTGCATGTAAAAAGAAGTTGTCCACACTGATTTGCAAGTTTCTAACTTTTTTGGATAAATCTGTACAAATGCCTACAAGGACTGGTGCAATTTCCCAAGAAATGGCTCCAGTCCACCAACCAGAAAGGAAATATTTAGCTCCCTGCAGCGAGTCTGTTATTTCAAAAGAAACTTAATAGCTCTATTCCTACAGAGCAAATACAGAGCAATCACCAGCGGCCAGCTATGCTCTCCTTTCTTCTGAAACCTGGTAAGCAACAAATGTCTGCAAATGCCACCAGGCAAAGGGTTTTGATATTCTGTACAGTTGTGAGGTTATATGCCCTGCTTCTACTATGTTATGTTGGTTCTTCTCATTCTGCAGGTTTCTTACAGTAATTTTGCCTTCCTCAGCACACTTGCAGGTCAGAAAGGAATAAATAACTTTTTTTTTTTTTTAAAAGGTAGAGCCTGCTTTCTCAGTTTTCATTTAGGCAGCATTTCATTGGCTGGTTTTACAACTGTAACATTTCCTCTAACTAGACAAAATAAGAAGACTCAGAGGTCATTCTTTTCTAATGAGAGCGATGAAAACAAAAAGAGAAAGACTACAGGGAAAAGGTGGGCTCTTCATTGGAGTTCATAACTAATTGTCTTTATTAAAAATATTTAATAACTCAAGACAACACAATTCAGCTTCATTCAGGGAACTCCTACTTCTGCTAGTCTAACATCTAAGTGCAAATTGCAACTCTGGTTATGAAAGGGACGTTATTTTCTTTATACTTTTAACTCTTCCTGTTCAAAGACACACTGATGAAGCAATTGAGGGAGACATGTTTATTACAGCTGGTGGAGTACTAACAGGCTCCGTCATGAAGTTGGGTAAGCACCAACAAGGTGCTTGAACATAAAAATGAGAACTATGTGTTTAATACAAAAGTATCACTTAAGAATGCTGTAAGCTCCAATTACTCATGACATTATCAGCAACAGTAACATAACTGTATATGCATTCTTCTGGCAGTGCATTGCATTTTCTTCAATAGCTTTCCTCTGCAGAGTTCCCATGTCACACAGATTCCAAACTTGGAAATACTTAGGTGCAACCTAACTTTCAGGGAGAATAGCCACATTGATTTAAACAAGGTTCAACCCTTACAGATGTTAGAATGATCGCCCGTGTGCAGGATTGGACCTCACGGGGCCCATTTTCCAACAGATAACTGCATTACATATATTTTTGCTGCTGTTCTTCTTTCCCTCTCTCCGCTATCTTTATTGCCACGGGCACAACTATGACACTCGGAGGTAAAAAGGATTAATTTAATCACAAACTAACCGTAACTTACGAGACGACCCTCCAGTCACTCACCTCAAACCATCTGAGTGTTTCGAGATGTTACTGCACAAGCCTCCTTTCTTCTCTCCCCTCTCTCACATGAGATGCTGCAGTGGTTTTTTTCTGATGCTTCGCATTAAAACTCTTTCCTGGGATCCAGGATCTTAAACAAAAACAAACCAAGAAACACTCAGAATGAACATGTCATTTCAAGCAATTGGTGGGTGGCTCGGGGGAAATCCCTGACCTTTCTCCAATGTATATTTCATTACCTTCAGTGAGTGTGCTAACTCCCCACAGCAGAAGCACTCTTCTGTGGGCTGCTCTTACAACAAAACAAACCAGCAACTATTTTAGACCAGTGAAAAACATGCCATTTTTAAAATCTCTATGGCAGTACGCTACAAAGTGTTTAAAGAAGGATCTTGTGTACAACTGGGCTCCGCAAAATAATGAAGGAGAAAAGGGACGAAAGCTCAGAGATGCAAATCAAGAAGAAAAAAAAAAAGATAACCATTATGTAAGCTAGAGGGGAGAGCAACGATTGGCTTTATTATCATTGCAGTGCTACCACTGATGTTATTACTAGCAGTAACATGCACAGCTCCCGAATCGGAGATGTTTTTGGAACAGTCAGGGGACACAGCAACGTGCCAGGGAACCTGCACAGTGCCTACACTACAGAACCCAGCCCTAGCAGAGGAGAGGAAGGAAGGGAGGAGGAGGAGCGACAAAGCACTGAGTAAGAGAAACTGGCAGGTCTCTAACACAATCAATTCTGACGTTCTCCACCATCGCCAAAAAAGGTCTGAATGGGTCTGACCGCGACCTACGCGCTGCTGCGCTACGCCGAGCGCTTCCTCGTCCCCTCCCGCAGCCCCACTCCTCTCCTCACCCCTACCTGCGGTGCCTCAGCCAGCGGCTGAGAGCCGGCAGCCCAGGCTGTGTCAGCAGGAAAACCCCTCGGCTGCGAGCAGCCGGCGCTGCCAGCCGACGCAGAGCTCACTTTCCCTTGGACGGCACGCTCCTGCATTTGCACGGCCCCGCTGGAGCGCAGGCATCCCGGTTATTCCCTCCGCACCATTTTTAGCACCAACAACTCTATTCCTCTGCATTCATTCTTGTGCTGCTGAAAGCCTGAACGGCGAGCCGTTCCCGTGGCTACACCTGTGACTGACCCCACTGAAACCAACAACCTTTCCCAACGTGACAAAGAAGAGAGTTTGACCTTGCGTGCAGTTGAGCCGAACTGCTTCGGGTTTTCTTCCCTCAGCTATGACAGACAGACACTCTGAGCAATTTTTTCCATTGCTTTTAATTAAGAAATGGAGACATTATCCACAGCCTTCTGTGGCTGTACATACTTCAGAAAATACAACTAAAGTGGTCAGAAACTCTTAGAAGTACAGCTTTCCACATCACACTTTACCTCCCCCCCTCCCTTGAAGAAAACCCAAAACTCAGCCCAAAGACCAACACGCAAACCAGGAGTAACATGGGCTTCCCCAACTCTGCCCAGGGCCTGCACCTGTTCCACCACTCCCACAAGTTGCTTACAGCATGAACAAATCCCCAAATGCTCCATTTAAATTATCCTGCTCCTCTGTGCTCCTCCATGCTTAGGCTGCTCCTGCTTCCCTTGGGGAGCCCGCTCTCACACCTAGCAGCCAAGCCTACAGATTTGCAGGGAGGGGACAGAGCCCTCCAAAGCTGTAACACAGATCCAGAGAAGGCTGCGAGTTCAAAGTGAAATGAGGACAACCTGTCCGTGACTCATTCCACCCAGAAACGATTCTTAATTTAAGAAAAACTGTTAATTCTTTTACGGAATGCCCCCCCTCTGAACCAACAAGCTCCTGCCTCCCTCCATCTTTCCCCAGCTCAAATACAAGGTAGCTGGGGACTCTATTTTAAGACTGAAAACAGTGTAAAATCCTCCTGCCCTCATGTCTCCGTTAAAGAGACAGACTGTTTTTTGAGGGACAGATTCCCAGCTATCCTCCAGACTTTTCACTTGACCTAGGGGCAAATGATATGTGACACTTCCTGAAGGGCTGGAATAGCTGTAAATGACACCTGAGCTTCTACGGCGCCTTTTAGGTATGAGAGTTTGGCTCCAAATCATAAAATCATAGAATCACCAGGGTTGGAAAAGATGCACATGGTCGCTTCACCCTGATTTTCCTGTGCCTCAGTTTCCTCCGTCTCTACAACAAAGATAACAGCATCTCAGAGGGCTGTAAGAAACACAACACCCACACTGAATTAGAGGTGATGTGGTAACGTGGGCAAAGCTGCAGATACCTCTTAGCTCACGTGAAACTGAAACTTCACATCCCCCAGATGAACAGAAACAACCTGGTAAGCCAAACCGAGGTGCCGGACATGGTTCTGTCCATGTCTGAATCTGTTCTGCGGGCAGCCCTTCCACCCATACAACTCCCTCCCCCTGGGTGCTCCCAGCAGGCGTGGGGCAGGCTGAATGGTTTCACTGTAGTCACACAGCAGCTTTACAGCTGCTCAGAAAAGGCCTATTGTAGCCCTGTATTTTACTATCTCGAGTAGCATACATTCATTTGCCGTACAGCTCCTGTTACCCATCTGATCTTTACAGAAAAAGAAGCAACAAATCAGAGTTTGCCAAATGAAAAGCGGTTTTACTGCGAGGGAGAGATTTTTTTCGGTTACGGTATTAAAAACAGTGGTGAAATCTTAACGCACAACGATTCAGTCACACAACTGACAGTCAGATGGGATGGACTTTGCAAAAACCTACACGAGTAGATTTGACAGCGTAATTCTAAGTGCCTTGATTTTTCTGCACTGTGCCCAGGCTTGAGTCAGGGCGGAAGGACAGTTCTGCACAGGGTGCGCTCCTCCAGCATCCAACTACTCCACTCTCCCCCTTCTGGAGAAATGGATGCAGCTTCGAACAACTCTGCAACTAATGAGGTGGTGCAGAGTTCATCCAGCCCCCCAGCACAGCCAAAGGCAGACTTACTGCAAAGCTTAAATCCTCATCCTCCTCCCATACACACTGTGTGGACCCTGCCAGCTAAAAAGAGGCTGAATTTAGTCCGGGTTCCATCGCAACAGCATCTCATCGAGCCTACAGCATGCCATACTCCTAATCCCCAGAAATTAAACGATGATCGATCAGCTCACATTTCCCCCTGAAGTATTACTTTCTTAAAAGTTCTGATATCAGATAAAAATCACAGGGTCTTTTTCTTTGGCTTTGGAGCTGTAGGAATGCAACAAGCGCTATGCTGCTCTGCTGTTGCAAGATGGAAATATTTTGCCTTTTAATGCAAGCTGAGACAGAGAATTCCCCTTGCTTTGTCAGCCAGGGACTTTAAGAAAACCTCCCAAGAGCTGCAGGCCGATGAAATGCCACCAGTGGGACCTTTCTCCCCCTGCAGCAATTGTGTCTCTCTCAAAGCGCTGCATGAGTTGCATGGACTGAACTGATTATGCATTCCAGTCAACTGGTACATTAATTATTTTAGCATGGCTTAACTATGATCAAAACTGATGAAAAACCATGGCAGTGGAAACAAAGAATCAAGTAAAGAAAGGAAATAAACCTCAGAACAAACTATAGAGGAAGACACAGCTTATGTTTTCTGTGGGTGGGGAGAAGATGGCTCTCCTGTCCACATTCTGGGATTTGGGGCAGGCTAAGTATGATGGCTAGCTACAAAGGATGGGGAAATGGCAGCACCAGGCTCTTTGTGTGCCCTCATTTCACCAATAGGAATTCTTGTCCCCAGACACTGCACAAAAGGGTCTGCTGCCCTTCCCTGCCTCTGACAAGGAGTCAGTATGAAAACCATAAACTCCCCACTTAGCAGCTCAGAGTGATTTTATTACCTGATTTTTGGAGCAAGGGCTATCAGCCCTCACTTACTGTGCCTGTGCCTCAATGCATCCTGTTCATCACTTAAAAGTGCTGCAGAGACATGCTCTCCCCCTAGCCCAGAAGGTTGTTAGGTCTTTCCAAATCGTAATCACCCCAGCTTTCCCAGGCACGGACTGCAGGCCCTCCTGGGCTCCCTCGTAAATACCTTGTTATCCCAGGATCTGAGCACAGGAGCAGTGTCTCAAGAGAGATGTACTGTGCCACGCATCTGAGGCTCATCCTGCTGCACGTGGACTTGATGTACAGCCACCTACATTCATCCGGATGCAAAACTCCTGTGCTCCTCTCTGGTGAAAGCCAAGAGTGCCAGCACGCAAACACCTGAATGCCACGTGTTCACATCCTCACAGTCTGTCAGGTAACATCTTTTGTACAACTTGTGCTCTGCCCCTGAAAAGCAGTAGATTAGTAACTCTGCTAAATGCCGTGTATGGCCTTGAAAGAGGTGTTAAGAAAAATCAAGTGTGACATGATGATTTGCAGTGTTCAGATACATTCCGAGCTCCTCAAATTCAAGAGCTCTTAGAAAAAAGAAGAAATTTTATGCTTTTTGGGACAGATGAGCCTGGAATTTTGCCTTTTATCTTCTGCCTTACTTGCTCAGGCTAACCCACATTCTAGCTATACAACACCGGATTCTGAGATGCATTAATTTGATGATACATACAGAGATTCCATAATCTATATTCCTTATATATTTAAGTATCTCCAGCACCAAGGAGAAACAGGACACTTCAGGAGAAACCTCTGGCGACCTTTGTTGCACGAAAGGTTTGACCACAAGCTTTTGTTAGAACAAAAATATAACTGAGCCACAACCAGCTCAGCACTATTGCAGTCAACCAACAGTGGCCTTACAATTTGAGATCAGCAAGTCCATGGGAGCAGGCTGGCCAGCAAGTAAAACCTTCCACACAGAGAACAAATGTTGTCCTCTGTCTGGGTCAAGAGAGTTGGTTGGCTACAAAACCAGGTTGGCTACTGCAGCCAAATCTACCCTTTTAATGAAGGAGAGACAGGACACTGAAATAGATGAAGCTTTTGTACAAGCCTACTTGTCCAGACATAATTTCTTTTCTTTTTAAAGCACTGTGCTATTGTCTCTGTCATCTCTACTTCTACTTCCTTTTCCTCAGCACAAATCATAACACAAGCACTTTGACAAATAATGGGCTTGGTAGCAGGCTCTCTGGGCTGCCAACTGTCAAATTCAGAAAGCAGGACTGTCACATCTGCCAGAC